TCCCCTCTGGGTGTTGCAGCGGTAGACCTTGGAAAGTTGTGATTGGGCCTTGGAATATCCCAGGCGGGGGTCGAATCATGTCAGTGCATCCAGGTTTTGTTCGAATGGCTCATGCTGGCACTACACAGCAGGCAGTTAGTGAGGCAGGGCATCTGGCTGGGCGTGTGGTCCCAGCTGCTCGGCATCTCGCTCCCACCCCCCCAACCCCCCACCCCCCCTTGGAGTAATAAGCAGCCCCACCCCCTCCACACACCACAGCACGAGGGCGTGCGGCATCATGAACCAGTGCCTGATGGAGCTGGCGCCGCGCTACCCCGCAACCAAGTTCCTGCGCATCGTGGCGTCAAACTGCATCCCGGGGTACCCCGACGCCAACACCCCCACGCTGCTGCTGTACCGGGGGGGCAAGTGCGAGCAGACCCTGGTGGGGCTGGAGCGCTTTGGCGGTCAGGCCACCAGCCCGGACCTGATTGCCATCTCACTGAACCGGTTTGGGGCGGTGTGCGGCGACCCCGACGACGCCGCGGTGGCGGCGGAGCAGCTCGCGGGGGTGGTGGCGGCCGCCGCCGCTCGAGGGGTGAAGGCGATGGGGAGGGGGACTCGGACTGAGAGCCCGGGGCTTGGACGCGTTGATGTAATGACGATGTGCTCACATGCCTAAGCCATGTACCGCCAATGATGGGAGAAGGATAGCATACCGACGGAGTAGGGACAGGTCTGATTGGGTTACAGCCAAGGGAACAAATCATGGTGGGAAGAGTGAGTTGTCTGTTCCCAGTCCCGGGGTGCCCCTGGGGTCCGCCATGGGGTCCGCCATGGGATCCGCCAGCGCCTCCTACTCGAGTTGCTCTGTAAAGGCATAGAGTGGCGTTGCATGTCGGCATGGCCGTTGCAGATCTACACATGCTCTTCCCTGGTCAGTATTCATGAGGAGCATCAATTCAAATTCTCGCCTAGTCGGACCCATGCCTGCATGAACCCCTCCCCAGCCCGACCCATGCCTGGCGGAGCGCGCTCGGTGCTGGCATGGGGGCCGCCGCATCGCGCTGGAGAATGCCGGACCCCCGACCGGCTCTTGAAGGGTCCTTGGCGTGGTCGACCAACTGTGCATGGCCGGTCATCAACGCAGGCCAGCCACCACCCCGGCGACGCTGCCGGCAATGATGCGGGCTCGGGCATCCTGTCCGTGGACGAACTAGATCGGATTGCGAGGCACAGGTGCCACATGAAGGTGTTTGTCGAGGTGGTAGAGTATTGGTTGGTGCTCATGACAGCATGTCGGTCTCTGCTGGTGTCTCCTCGTCATGGGTCAGGGAGGAGGGGGGGCGATTGAAAACCCCTCTCACGAACTGCGAGTCTCACTCGCTGTTGGCCAGCCGTCACCGCCTCACCCAGTGCACATCATCCCCAGCTGCGTTCTCCCATGCATTCACACGCAGGGGCCTCAGCATCCGTTTGACATCGCTTGGGCCCGCCTACCGAATAGCATGCCGCGATGAGGGTGGTGCCATCCTGGGAGTCACCCAGGGTTTCAAGGTGCCCCTCTTCCCGATTCTGCATGCGGACACCATGCAAGTCCAGCGTCCCCGCCGCATGGGAGCAGGTAGTTTCTGGGCCGTGGTGGAATTGCTGCGCTGGTGACCAGGGCAATGATGCAAAGGTGGGTGCTGCCTCTGAACCCCCACCCTTTACCTGCTCTTGTTTCAGTCAGGGTTCCCCACATTGGTGCAACATGAGGCTTCCCACATGGCCCCCCCGTGCCGCGCCTGGTCATGCAGGTGGAAAACCAGCCGGCGGGCCGGCACCCAGGTTCAAGCGGCAAGGCCTGCACGGCCTGGGGCTGCTCCTGTTTGTGGCCACGCTCGCCCACGCCGCTGCCTGCGGCTGCCAGCGCATCGAGATGCTGGCCATCAACGACGCAGGTGGAGGAGATTTTGGCTGGCAGAAGGTATACATGCATTCTGAAATGTTGGCACGTTGACAGGAGCCCGGCCAGGACCGGAACATCACGCATATATGGAAGACCTTTCAGGCCCTGCCCGCCTGCCTCCTGCAGAGGACACGCATGCTCGCCTGGTGCGGTACTACCGGCGCCTGGGCTTCGTGGCGCGCAGGGACGTCAGCGGCGAGCGGCTGTCGGATGTGCCGCACCTGCTCGTCTGGGGCGGGCGGGGGCTGCGCATGGACGGCGACGTGGCGGCCCTCACGCGGCGGTGGGCCCCAGTGGTGAGGGCCGGGGCCCAGTCCGAAGCGTGAGGACTACTACAGCACTGTGGGCCAGAGTTGCTGCGCTCCTGCGTCCTCCGCACCGAGTCTCGCCAGCGAGCCGTAGAGCAGCCCAGGCCGGTCCCGCCTCACGCCGCCTTTTGCTTGACGAGGCGGGCCCACGATTTCCTGAGGCTCCACCCCAGGCCGGCCTGCGGTTATCGTGCCGGGGCGGGCTGGTGTCGCTCGCGGACAGCATCAGCATCAGGGGCCATGCTCCCCTAGCACTCCTCTGGAACCCTGAGCAGTCCCCATTGCTTTGATGAATAACCCCGATATACCACCTCATAAACGCACCTTTCCTCGAAGAAAGGCTGACACAGGTCGAAGTTGTACCTTGCTTGGATTGGGCTGACCCTTGAGCGGGGGCTTCGTCGTGGCCCATTGGTGACCACCGTGGAGGGCCCGGATCCCTGAGGCCTCCTCCTCCAACGCGTCCTTTGACCGCCGCTGGCGGATGCTCTCATTCATCTTTCCAGCATTACAAACGCACCGGGGCTCATTGGGGTTGGGATCATAAACATAGGGTGCTCCCCCCGGCTCGCCCGCGTTTGGACTGTCGAGACTGTCGAGGGCGAGAGATGCCTGCTGCGCGGGCCCCGATCGCAACAGGCCCCAAAGGGGGGCTCGTTTGGTGGCACATGGGCTCTGGAATCCGACACGCAGGGACCAGATGCAGAGGCTTGTAAGGTCTTCATTCCTCGCTCTTCCATCCGGAGTTCTGCCGGTGTAGCTCTTGGCCGAACCCCACGATCAAGGGGGAGAGTGCGGAGGCTGACACCCCCACCAGCCGCTGCGATGTCCCGCCTGTTGCTTTTGGCATTGCTTCTTGGGATCTGTGCGGCCGCTCCCGCCTCCGATGTCGAGACCCTGGAGATCACGAGCGCAGATCGCAAGGTGGGTCCGGCAGGCGGGCAGGACCGGTGCACTGCATGTCTTGCTGGAGCGGCTCGCAACCCTCAGACCCTACCCGCCACCCCTCTGCCCAGCTCCGCGCGCTGGGCTACCGTGTCCAGATCAGGACCAGCATCGCCGTTGTTAACACGGGCAAGGCCCCGGTAAGCAGCTTCACATACTGCGAGCCCGCCAGCCACCACCGCTCCAGCGCCGCCTTTGAGGCAAGTTTTCACAATTCGACCAGTGGAGGAGGGTCTGGTCCTGGAGCCTTTTCATGAACAGTGCCCCTTCGGTAACTTTCCACACCGATCCCGTGCCCGGTGTGCCATGGGTCGTCCCCACCACACCATTGCCGCCCCTTTCAAACACCAGATCGCGTCGTCCAGCTCCGGGCAGAGGGAGACGCCGCTGAAGGGCGCCCTGGTGGTCCTCCCCGAGGCACCCCACAACGTCACCTGCCTGCGATTCCAGCTGAACGCCCCCCTTCCGCCCAAAGGCACCCTCGACTTTGAGGTGGTGGGCGTGTATGTCGGGACCCTGGAGCCCTGGCCCAGGCAGGCCCCCGCCGACGCACCCACCCTGGCCCTCTATCGTGACAGTGCCGCGCTGGTGTCGCCCTACCCGGTCCGCCAGCAGACCTTCAAGGTGGGGCGGCACGCTTGAGGGAACTAGACGTACAGGGATTGCACAGGCATCCAAGTGGCTGACGCCGCTGATTTGGATTGCCGCCGTGCCGGGCGGTGACCGCCAGCCCTTCCATGGAGCCCCACCACAACTCGAGCAATTCCCCCCCCCTCCCCCCCCCGCGTGCCAGATGGAACTGGGCAGGATCGAGTCGGTGGAGGCGCCCGGCGCGGAGGTCACAACGAAGGGGCAGGGCGCCGAGGTGCGGGCCCCGGGCGCCACCCCCCCCTTCCGCCAGCTCCCCTTCGCCGCCCACTTCGAGGTGGTGGGCCTGTTTGTGAAGGGCCGCTCGGCGCGCCGCCGCGTCGACGTCAGCCCCGTGGGCGCGTCCCAGTTCGACGAGGAGTACGAGGTGGTGAGTCGGCAGGCGGGATGGGGAGGAAAGGGCAGCAGGGTCGCCAGGCGGCACGACTCCCTGCCAGGGGCGGGTGCTGGGTAGGGGAGGTGTCCGGTGCACCATGGGGCGGGGCCGGCTCCCTTTGTAGGCCCTGCGGCCGAACTCTGAGCTCTTGCAGAGGGGTGCACTGGCTGCCGGACCCCTGCAAACAGCGCCCCAGCCCAGCTGGACCGCGGCAGGCACTCAGGTGCACACACTCAGGCCAGGCTGAATCCCCTCACACACACACGCCCACGCATACACACGCACACACACACACACGCAACCCCCGCAGGAGCACCGAGGCGCGGCGCTGAAGGGCGAGTGGTCCCGGCTGGACTACATCTCGCGCACGAAGAAGTACGGCCCCGGCGCCGTCAGCGGCCTGCATGTCACGGGTGCGCGTCGATGGTGGTCAAGTGGGCCGAGCTGGGCTGGGTCGGGGCCAGCTGTGCCGAGACGCGGCCGGCGTGGCATGCCCCCTTGCGCAGCTAGATCGCCAGCATGCATCACTGCGGCAGCTTGCCCTCCAGGTGCGCCGCCCTGGACTCCTGGGTTTCCTGCGTCTTGACCCCCTGTCCTCCCTGCCTTTGCCAGGCTTGCCAGCCAACGCGGCCAACCTCTACTTCCGCGACGGCATCGGCAACATCTCCTCCTCTGCCGTCCAACGCACCGAGACCGGGGTGGGTGGCCATGACGGCGGTAGCTCGGATCAGCGTGCCTTGCTGGCGACCTTGTGTGATGGTCTGCAGCCCTGGGGCTGGCCGAGGCAGGCTGGGTATGCCGCATTGAGCGTGCCGCCTGTCAGAGCCATGGAGGCGGAGCTCTCCGTCCCTGGCGCCCGCGACAAAACCTGCGCCTTGGTTATCCAGATCTTGAAAGGCCTTCCCATCCTCGACCCCCCTCCCCCAGGTGCGAGTGCTCCTCCAGCCCCGCTACCCTCTCTTTGGCGGCTGGACCACAGACTTCAAGTTTGGGTGGTCTGCCGAGGGCGTCGTAGCGCCCGGGCCGGCGCCGGGGACCCTCACGCTCTCCATCACCTTTGGTCCCAGCGTCACCGAGGTGGCCTTTGACGAGGCGGAGCTCAAGGTAAAGTTTCCTGGGCTTGATGCGACGGCGCGAATCGCTTGCTGTCAGCAGTGTGTGCGGGGCTGGACGTCTGAGGAGGGCCCGGCTGCGCCCTGAAACTGAAGCACGCGCTGCTTCACCCTCACAGGTGATTTTGCCGCCAGGGGCAACTCTGCTCAACGTGGAGCTTCCCATGGAAGTGGAGCGGAGGTTGGAGGTCACGTGAGTTGGGTGGTGTCAAGCGCACCCCCTGGACAAGGGCATGGCGGTCTTGACCTAGAATGCTTCGAGTGCACTTGAGGCCGCTGTGACCCCCATGAGGATTGCAGGGGTTGGGCGCAGGATCTCAAGATATTCTCCCGAATCTCTGCAGTCGAGCTGTGAGGCATGTCTACGGGCGTGCTCTGTGCCGTTCCACAGCCAGAATCTTGCTCCCCCACTCCCACCCCTACTTCCACGTCCTACCCCCCTATTGCCGCAGGCACGACTTCCTTTCTCTGGTCGGACGGACTGTGGTCGTACTGCGAAGGCCCATGTACGTACCCGAACTCAACGTTCCCCTCCGCGTGACCTTCAAGCCGGGGGGCACGATACTGGAAAAGTCTACCGCATGGCTCGTGACGGGCGCGGCCCTGGTGGCGGGAGCGAGCATCGTGCGACGGATCGCCTCCAGCTGAAGGACGAGGCGGTCGCATGCCGCATTTTAATGTTAACAGGCCCTATCCAGACATTCCGATCTTGTTAGGGGGTCGGGGGGAATGAATCACCAACGAGGTGGGTATGGCGGGGGCGAGATCAGCCCCGCCAAGAAAACTCGGGATGGGGCCGCACGTCGGAGCCTTGCTCTCACGCGCGCATGCATGCGCAAGTCCCAGACACCATGTAACGAGTTGCATTCGTGAATGCGCCTTTCGACACAAAGTGCAACTCGTGTCCCAGGTGCACGAATGGCATTACGCTTACGTAAGCTTCAATGTACGGCGCTGCAGGTGTGGGGCCGACCAATACAAAAAGGGAGAAGGGATCAATTCTGCCGGTGCAGCGACGGCATGCCAGCAGCATTAGAAAACATTCTACGGGATCTTTGGGCAATGGACGCTTCTACCTTCTCGAGTACTCTTGTTCACCCCTCAGTGACTGTGTGGGGGATCTGGGAGAGGCATCACGGGCACATCGCCATCTGACGCCAGGGCGAAGCTCTGTCTTCATGGCAGCAGACCAGGCAGTGAGTGCATGTCAATCAGTCAGGCTTTCATTTGTATACTAATCAATCGCTCCGACTCTACAGGTCATACGCGAGGCCCTTTCTAATGTGTGAGTAAGGTTGGCGAAGCATAGCCAAAATGACCTGGCAAGCAAGCGGCTGCTGCCCATCGGGCCCGCGAATAGACTGTACAACAATCAAATGATGTGCCGCGCGTCGCGTTTGATCTGCAATGCAGTTTGCAGACGCTCAATGAATGGGAAGACGGTGACTGCCTTGAACACTGGAGGCCGTGCGGCAAGTCTTCCCAAGCTGGTATTTGAACGTGTACCAAGTGAGGAGTTCAAAAAGTGACTGCATCGAATTGTGCCGCACAAGGAATCCGGAAGAGGCTCCTTCTTCGTAGGTCCACGGCGACCTGGTTTGTCAAGACGGCAATCGGAAGGGGGGTGGGGTGGGCCCATGCCGGCTTCCAAGATCCTGCCGTCTGGCTCCCCCTCCCAGCCGTTGGAGGGCGACATGCCATGCACCCACATGTCACTGATGTGAAAAGGGCATCGTATCTTCAACAAGACAACCATTTCATACTCGATTCGACCGAAGCCCCTTGCATGGGCGCACGGGTGTCTGCGGGGAAGTTCCAAGACTTTCGCGAGAGCGCCGCGCCTTTCTTTCTATTGGTCGCTCCCATCAACCTGTGTGCTCGGCGCCGTTCATGAGCACAGGAGCGCGTCGGGACAGGGCAACTCGACGCATGATTGAAGGTTTATTGGGCGTAATTGATGCCTTTCGAGCTCCATCACAGCAGTGGACAGGCCTGAGTGATCGCGAGAGCCCCCACCCCGTGGCTCCCTCCCAACCCGACTTGGATCGAGCAAGGTGCATTGGACGGCGACTAGGGGCTCTCAGGCACGTCGTTCTAGCTTCTTGAACACATTACATGGTACTTGGTGTATTAATATCGGCCCACCCACCCAGTGCAGGTCGGCGTTGCATCGACCGCGGCTTATACAGCTTTACGAGGGCAATCGTTAGGCACCCCCAAGAGTTCGTCCCGTCACCCCTGGCATGGCCTAAGAGCTAGCAGGCCTGCCGCACCAGTCTCCTGAAGGCTCGAAACCTGGGCTACACCCCCGCCATGTTCCCTTTGGCTGCCTCGTTCGGCGGCTACTACGCCCTGTACGTGGCGGTTCTGACTGCGTCAGTCCGCCTGGCGGTGTTCCTCTCCTGCCTCGTCTCCGCGGACCGGCTCATCAACATCAGCAAATTTGTCTACTTCAAGATCCGTGCCAGGCTGACGGGCCACCTCCCGGAGCACGACTGGGCCTTCCCAGACCTGCCCCATGACCCTGCTGCATACCCCAAGGTAGGTGGACGAGGGACTCTGGGGGGCAGGTCTGTGCTAGCTTTCCGTCCAATGTGAAACAAGGGGGGCATTGACGCGTGCCTTTGAGTCCGGGGCTCCGCCCAGCACCAGGGGTCGAGTTGCTGGCGTGTGACTGCCATGCTGAGCCGCCGCCCAACCACCCAACTCACAACAGGTGGCGGTCCAGCTCCCCATGTTCAACGAGCGCGCCGTGTGCCAGGCCATCATCGACTGCTGCTGCGAGCTGCACTGGCCCACGCAGCGCCTGAAGATCCAGGTGCTGGACGACTCCACCGACACTGTGACCCGCCAGCTGGTGGATGACAAGGTGCTGGAATGGTCGGAGCGCGGCCTGGACATCGAGTGCCTGCGCCGCACCAACCGCCAGGGCTACAAGGCCGGCGCAATGAAGGAGGTGGGTGTTTCAGGGGTGTTTTTGGGGGGGGGGGGAGGTGGGGGAGAGGGGAGGTCTGTGGAGCGAGTGCTCTTTGCAGTGCTCAGGCTGAGTTTGGGCCCCGAATGGCCCAACCTGCCGACCTTCTCGTCCTCCCTCCCTGCAGCCTGCAAACCAGCCTCTCTCTCGCCAAATGTTTGTGTCAAGACCCCCGTCCCATCCTCCATCCACGCAGGGCATGGACCTCTTGATCAAGCAGGGCTACCTGTATGTGGCGGTCTTTGATGCCGACTTCAAGCCCGAGCCCGGCTTCCTGTACCAGACCATTCCCTACCTCGAAGGCAACCCCAGCGTGAGTTGGAGGAGTGCGTTCCTGGCGGTGTGTCATCCGCCCTGTCCCTCACCCATGTGCACCGGTTATTGTGGTGAGGCTCCCCCTGCCAACCCAAACCCTGCCGTCAGCTGAGCCATGTGGTGTCGGTTGCCCTCAGGAAGCAGTCCCACCATCCCATTCCCCTGCCCCCCTGCTCATCACTCATTCCCTCCTCTCTCACCTCCCCCCCCCCACGCGCAGGTCGGGTACGTCCAGTCCCGCTGGGTGTTCACCAACCCGCAGGAGAGCTACCTGACCAAGGCGCAGGAGGTGTCCCTGAACTACCACATGAAGTGCGAGCAGTACACGCACAGCGCCGCGGGGTCCTTCTTCAACTTCAACGGCACCGCCGGCGTCTGGCGCTGCGCCTGCATCGAGACCAGCGGCGGCTGGAATTCGCGCACCACGGTGGAGGACATGGACCTCTCCCTGCGCGCCTACGTGCGCGGCTGGAAGGCCATCTTCCTGGACAACGTCACCTGCCTGAATGAGCTGCCCGCCAGCTTCTTCGCCTACCGCAAGCAGCAGCACCGCTGGACCTGCGGCCCCATCCAGCTCTGGAGCAAGGCCAGCAAGGACATCTGGGCCTCCAACCTGCCTCTCATACGCAAGCTGGAGCTCATCTTCATGTACTTTGGCGTGCGCAAGTGCGCCACTCACTTTGTCTCCCTCGGCTTCTTCTGCACCCTGGTGCCCCTCACCATGTTCACCCCGGAGGTGGGTGGCGGAAGAGGGGGGGTGGAGTGGGAAGGGTGGGGGAATGTCACCATGAGAAAGCACGATGGTGCTGCGTGGCCCCTGCCTCAGTCAACCATGGGATCTACAAGCAGGTTCCTGTCCACTGGATACTCCCGGGCACCCCTCTTGAGGTCCCCCTCAAAACACACACCCTCCCCTGCCATCCCATGCTCCCACTGCATCCACATGCATACCCCCCTCCCCCCTCATCAGAACGCCCCCCCCCCCCCCCCCCTCACAATCACAGGTGGTGCTGCCGGTGTGGGCGCTGGTGCACCTCCCCGTCTGCGTCACGCTGACCACGGCAGCCTTCACGCCGCGCGGCTGGGTGTACAGCATCCTGTACGTGCTGTTCGAGAACGCGATGGGCACGGTCAAGCTCTGGGCGGTGGTCACCGGCATCCTGGACCTGCAGCGCGCGCAGGAGTGGGTTGTGACCACCAAGCTGGGCTCCAGCGACAAGCGCCCCGGCGCCACGGGGACCAGCGTGCCCCTGCCCTCCTGCCGCCTCTACGTCAACGAGCTGGCCTTCTCCGGCTTCATGCTGGCGGCGGGGGCCTGGGGCGCGCTGGCCGGCGCGCAGATGGGCATGGCCCTCTACCTCCTGGTCCAGGGCGCCGTGTTCCTGGCCTTTGGCCTGAACGCGGTGGACGCCGGCGGCCTGCTGGGCGGCCGCCTGGATGACGACGTGGTCCTGGTCCCCGTCAACGCCGCGGGGGAGCCGCTGGCGGCGGGGCCCGGCGCCGACGCGCGGCGCGTGCCGCGCTCCGCGGCCAGCGTGGGCGGCGGCGGGCTGGCCCGCCCCCACCCCGCTGCCGTGGGGCGCACCGCCACCATCCCCGTCATCCAGTTGGACGCGCCGGGCGCGCTGGGCGCGCTGGGCGACGACGAGCGCGAGGAGGGCACCGGCATGGTGTTCCGCAAGATGGAGGCGCCGCGCCTGAACCGCCTCAACACCATCCAGGCCATCTCCGTGCTGGACACGGTGGGCGCCTACGTGTCGGGCACCTCCTCCGCCTCCCCCTCCTCCGACGGCTCGCGCACGCCGGACTCCGTCAAGGCCGAGGCGGAGCGTGGGTTTGCCACGCCGGGGCCCATGCCCGGGCTCATGGGCAAGCTGGGCGACATGTGGCCCTCCCCCTCCTCCACGCTGGTGGCGGTGCAGCAGGGCGCGGCCGCCGCGCGCCGCGGCATCCCGCTCCCCGCCTCGCTCCGCGCCGGGCGGCGGCCGGGCGCAGAGGACCAGCACAGCGACTGAGGCGGGCGGGGGCGGGGCACCCACCGCGCCCAGACCCTTGTACCATTCCCTCGCGCAGACCTAGTAGCAGTGTAGCCGCCCGCCCCGGGCACCCCTCGACAGACATAGCCTGGAATGCTCCAGACGGGGGGTCATGCCCCCCCGTCCCCGCGTTGCGCCCAACCCTTTCTTTCCCCGCAACCCAGCCAGTGGGTGGCTGCCCCCAACCCACACGCGGCGTGT